AAATTTTAATTTTATTAAAAAAATAATAAGTTGGAAGAACTAACCCAGCAAATAACAGCAAAATGCAATCAAATAGCACAACAAACTTTTGAGGATATTTTTGAAAATATGAAGCGTAGTGTACATTTATGTATGTAACAAAATAGAGGCAGTTTTGAACACTTATTGTTATTGTGATTTATCGCTCACTTCCCAATCCTTTTAATGTTCCAAAAAATGTGAAACACGGTTTGGTAGACCACATTTTAGTTTATTTACCACTTACCAGAACAACACATTCAAATTTAAAATGATACTGATGACGTTCCAATACAAATATCCGGTAAAAGTTTGTGGAGAGCGGCATATTTTTTTGACAAATCCGGTTCACAGGCCGCTAGATATAAATCATTTATTAACACTCTGTATATGGTTATCCGCGTTAAATATATTTCACTGTGTCGGTGCTTGTGCGGACTACACCCTCAGTGACGAAGGGGCTGCGGATGTGTTTTTTACGCCACTGCATGGCATGCTTGTTTACTTGTACTTTAAGGATTCATATCTTTATTCTAACTTGAAAGGGTCGTGATAAAAATAAGTAAAATCCACCAAATTAATTTTTTTATTTTACGAAGAAGGTGTATTGTTTTTTATAACTTTACACATTTTTTTTTTAATTAGACATAAACCGTGTACAGTGTAGAAATCGGTATTGAGATTCATAAATCATAGAACATATAACGCTCTTAGAAAAAAATTACTAATAAAACGCTTTACTGTCTTCTGGACCGAAATAACTTGTTCTGGAAAGAACTAGGTTGTTTTAGAGTGCAATAAACTGCAAACTTAAAATTTAAATTCATTTGCAGCGAAGTTCAAGTGAGTCCAATCTTTTCGATTTTCACCGAGTTTACAATTCGGTGCAGAGAAATCGTGTCCTTGCAAACTAGCTGAAACTAAATTAGATGGAAACATTTATTTAGAATTTCCAGTGTTTCCGGCAAGAATAAATGGAATGCTTTTTTCGACTCGTATAGTGGAAAACGGTGTTCTCTAAGCAAGCTTACTGAGTGTCATGTTGTTCCTGTCAGCGATGAAAGCATAATAGTTGAAATTATTCAAACCAACTTACTGTAAATTCTGGACTCCTAAACAACTGCCAACAATGTAAAAAAAATGTAGCTTATTTTTTTCGTATTAATTTCTACGTCTGGATCTTTAAGGTTAAAAAATATGAAAACTAGTGTTAAATCGGAAGCCGTCATACTTATAACTTTAGAGAAAATGTACAGTTTATTCAATGTACAATTCTAGGATCAATCTATTTAGCTTCAAAATCCCATGCAACAAGTTCGGTTTACAGTTTATGCCATTCGTTTCAGTGTTGATCTTTACAATACAAACCGCCCCAGAACCACAGTGAAACCTATAACGTTGAAACCTTTTTAACTTTCAGGGCCACTGGAGGGAGTGCTTCGATGATTTTGTACGATACTAATCCTTAAATTCCATTTTCCACCCCAAATTGTTGTGTTTTTAGTGGAATTGTTGACATGAAGCCAATCAGTTCAATAAAAAAATCCATCGTCCGTACAAAGTTTAGTAGCAACGAGCTTTCCACGACGCCCTTGCAAATGTCGTAGAAGGTTAAATCGTTCTAAGTTTCACTCGTTTTCCACAGCATTTCATAATTTAAAGGGAGCTTTAATATGAGAAAAAACCTCACAGATCTAATAAGCTATTTCAATTTGATCATCTTCAGCCTTATAAACAATTTTCTTTTAACGTAAATTATAATGAATTATTCAGGTTCAGTTCTAAAGCGAATATATTTCACAGTTTTACAGGTACAGCAATAGGCTGCGCGAAATTTTGAGAAAGAAATTCTTAATTTTTGAAAAAGATTTTAAAATACTAGAATTTTTTCTTCAAAGGAAATGTTTTTTTTTACAATTTAAAAAGTAAAACCGTTCCATTCGGCAGAGTATTAACTCGCATTACATTGTCTACAATAAAAAGAGTATACTGTGCAATCTGATGGTCGATCCGAGTAGCCTTAGGCCCCAAATTCGAACATAAAACAACACCTAAATCGAGAGAAACTTACTGATTTTGTTCATGTAATAAACCCTCTAGGGGTTTCGAAGCATTGTTTACTTTATTTGTCTTTTTTCTGAAATTAAACTCGTTTAATTAATCTCCATGAATCTGTTAGTCTGTTGATTTTAGAGATGAATAAAACCTAAAAATAATTTTGCTGAAGTTTTTCAATTTTTAACAACTAAACGTAGCTTATTTTTACGATTTTTACTTGCAACATTTTACATTTTAGAAAAAATTCCCCAGTGTTACTAATTATTACGACCGGAAACATTTTTAGCTGCGGTGATGTCTTAATTATGTAGAAAGTTGTGTAACTTCATTTACGTCATTCTGGCCGATGCATAATCAAACTTGTTGCGCACAAACGAGAAATAAAAAGAAATAAATCCAAGTATCAAAATTACACCAAGATCCCTAATATCTTTCCTCTGCAGTGAAACACCGTCAGTAAAATAGTTTGTGATAGTAGGTTCATTTTTTCTTCACATTTATTATTATGTAAATTTTGTTTAGGAACCCTATTCTAACTGCTAAGCATATTTAAATTTTTCTGCAGACGAAATGAACAGACAATATTTTAGATCGCGTGATATAATTTAATATCATGAGCAAAACCCATCACGTTTTCCAAGAGATTCATAAGCGGATCATCTATAAAGAACCAAAAAAATAGTGGTCTCAGGTTAGATCCTTGAGGTACTCCTCTTTTCGAATAATCCTGAGAGGATATAAAGCGATTATACCGGACGTAATTAACACACTCCGAGAGATAGGATGCCATTAAGTTCATTAGTTTACGAGAGAATCCAACATTAATGGAACAAAATATAATGAAGCGGTTGTAAAAGTATTGTGAAAAGTAATTGCAAAGTTAATTCCAGAAAAACATTCTAATGAGTCGTCGTCGGTGACGGCGGCCGGACGGCGTTCGCTAAAGAAAAGCCTGGAAGCGCAAGTCGCGATGGGTGCTCCAGAATAAGCCTAGAAGCGGTGATGGTGACTGTTCGAGAAGGACCGCGTGGCTTTCTAAATGAAAACCACCCTAGGGAACAGACAGTGAAGTCCAGACAATGAGAGAAGTAGAGTCTAGTCAAATCCATTCCAGTCGGAATATTTATTCTGTACATAATCGCTGTATAGTTAGCCGTGTAAATTTGAGAAATCAATTGTTGAGTTTTACCCACGCCGATTTTAAACACTCATACATCGTAACAATGTATTAAGAATGAGAATAAAATACCAAATTTCTGATTCGCCGTCATTATATTCCTAGGAATGTAAATGACACTATTTACATTCCGTAGTCAAAAGAAATTAATAAACGAATGTTATTGATCATTTACATGATTTGTACTAAGCATGTATGCGTTATTTACATTACCAGCAGCGGGAAAAAAAATACATTGTTGCTTACGAATTGGGCTGGAGACGTGGACATGCAGAAATGTTAGAATACCATTCTGTATTTGACAAGACAGCATAATGTGGCTCCAAAAAATTATCAGACAGTAAATGGTTAACTCCAAGCACGGTAAATGTGGATATATATTTCCCACTAAATTATACAAAAAGTTGTTAGAGCATCAATCAGATGATATCAAAACTGATAGCCTTTTCTTAACACCAAACTCTGCTTGGCAACAATTTGGAAAATGGTTCAAAAATTGTTCGGTGGGACCAAATACCATAGCTAAATGGATGCAAGATTGTCCAAAAGAAACTGGAATTGACAGTAAATTAAAAATAACAAACCAGATCAACAGAGCGTCAGAATAGGTGAACAACAAATGACCAAGATCACAGGTCATAGCTTTATTGGTTCCTTAAGATCGTATTTACTTTTAGATAATATACACCACGCTACCTTAATTAATACAATACGTGGCTCAACACAAAATGATTCCTCCAAATAAGAATCCCCATCGACGAGTAGTAATTGTGCAAACATTTGTGAAAGTTAAATTTTGTACCATATAGGTAAACTGAATTATACCTACTTTAGTTGTTCGAGTATAAATAAAAAATGCTAATTTATTGTCAAAACGGTGTGTAATTTGTTTATAAAATAATCGTGCAAAATACTACTGCTTACTTATTAAACTGGAACTTATTTTAAAACACTCAAACCCTGTCATAGTGGTGGAAATACTCCATGTAAAACTTTTTCTCTTTCTATCTATCTTACGTACTTTGCATGAGACAAAAAACTAACAAATTTTGAGTATGTCGTAAAAATTTTGTCAAATTTCGCAATTTGCCCTCAGAATTATTTATCAAACAGACTATTTGGTTTATTTAACGTTTTACTACTATATTTATTTGTGAACAATGAAACCATTTAAGAAAGTATAGGTGTAAATATTTTTTTAAGCTACCAAAAGCAAAGAAATACACCGGCCACCGCTTCCATAGATCAAGTGCCAATTTGATCGTCTACCCTGGGGTAGAGGATAGACGTTAAAGAGGCGTGGCAACTGGAAGTTAACCTCCGCAGTTGACAGCTACATGGAGCTTCCTTGAAGAATAATTAATATGACGTAAGTAAATTTTTCCGATAGGAGTTAAATTAAATTTTCATTTGATTAATCCAAAATATGTTCTATGTAGCCGTTTGCAATATTAAATCGTTTGGTATTCATTTCCTGTGTGAACCTGCCTATATATCGCCACAGCCGCCCCCTTATAATCACGTCACATTTTGTAAATCTCATTCCACCAACTTCGTTTGTCGAGAACTAACAACCTCGACACGTGTCTCACCAATAAATTATCACAAATTGAATTGTTAGTGCATCAAAGTAATAATTACAGCTGGCGCCGCATGCATTCCACAAACAAAATTACTCCACCGCCGCTTTTCTAAACACCTGTTGTTTACAACCACCCCGGAAAAAAGAAAAACACCAAACACTCACCTATTGTCGTAATCAGCGTTAACGAGTACAGAAACGACGAACTGAAGCTCCATTTGTGCACGTGCTGGCCGTAGAACACCGTGCCGCCCCCGTACTCCCCCCCGTCCCCGCTCCTCAGCGTCTTGAACAGCGCCTCCTGGAACAGCAGCACCTCTTCGGCTGCCAGCCTGGTCCAGTTCTCCCTGTACAAAATATTCAGATTTTCCGTTATACTCCACAATCTGTCTACAGTTTCCGAGCGCAGTTCCCGCACGGTAGTGGGGGCGGCGTCGTTGATCTTGGGGTCGCTCTTCGACGCCGCCACCGCCGTGTCGTGCTGCATGCCGCCCTCGAGGGTCATGAACACGAAGGCCCCCAGGATGGTGTAGGCCAGGACCAGGCAGCAGACGCCCAGGGTGGCCAAAATCGAGGTGGTCTTGTCGCCAGTGCACGTGTAGCAGCAACAGAAGAAGGTCTCTCTGACGGGCTCTTTGTGCTCGAAGCAGCACTTCTTGGGGGCGGGGCTTCCGGGCGGGGAGGCGCGTCGCAAGTAGGGGGAGTGAGGGGGGTAGCCGGGGTACGCGGGAGTCGTGGGGGAGGCGCGCGGGTCGCGTATCATCGTGCTTATGCCTTCAGCGTGAAAGTCGGGGGCGTGGCGGTCGGTGGCTGCATCTGGAACAAAAATGGCGGGTGAAAATGGCGACATTCGGGAAGTCTTTAATAGTAGAGCGACACTATGGTCCTGAAGAGGCACTCAGTGCGAGTCGTCATAGATAAATTGTGGTAGGTGCCCAATTCCTCCAGAAAGCTTATTATTTTTAAATCTACCACAGGACCGGAAAATGCCGACAAGACATATATTATTATAAATAATCATAATGCATTGATGAGTTTGTTGACAAATAAAAAGTCATCCCGTATGTACGATTGAATAAAAAAATATCATCATATCAGGAAATAAAAACCTCCACAAATATCACGCAGCAAATTGCAGCCTTTTTGATGTTGCTGCGGCTATTATTATTTCCATTTACAACTTGGTGAATTGCAGATATGTCGCATTTACTATAAACAAAACACTATTATGTACCTACCGATGTATTAAATCGAAACGGCAGCTATTGGTCGAATAGACACGCCAATGGGTCCGATTAGTTGTTCCATTTATGTTTTGGCGCAACTGCTAAATTCACCTGATGATGTTACTGCGTTATTTATGGACAAATGAACCGCGGCGCGTTATTAATAAATTCCATTACAAATATTGGAGAGGGAAATGTGCAGTTAAAAACAATAGTTAGGGTGATTTATTGTCATTGTAAATTTACGTGGAAGCGACGTTAAATCGATGGATTTTTTACCTACGTGTTGTTGGTCTAATGTTGTCATTACCAGGCGGTGAATGTGGTCCCACGCTTTTTCTAAATTTGCATAATAATCAGGCGAAAACGAATTTTGATAGGCTGTGTGTTTCCCAGTTTTCCAGTTAGTTATTACTCATTAGTAAAAATTAAATAGTTATTTTAATATTCCACAGGATGAGGAAAAATATTATAATACTTATTATTACGTATGTTCAGAACGACACATAGAAAAATTTTACTTGATGTGAAAATGTAATGGCGCAACTAGACTGGAATAGACACTTCGTTTTCATTTTAGGAAAAAAAAACTTGTTCTAATTTGCTTATGGCAGGGCCAGAAAATATTTTGTAGTTAGACCTGTCACCAAACCGCATTATGTTTAAGACTTAATTTATTATTAAAGGTGCGGATAATTATTAAAATTGCCACAAACCCCTACTCTTTGATCTGAAGATTAATGTGACTTACTCCAAATCAAATCACTTTGCTAAAATGTGCACACTTAAAACAAACACAAACAAAGCATAATGAAGGAATTATTTCTCAAAGCGGTGGCGAAAGTAACAGTGACTTAATTGGATTAATTTTCCGCACCAGCTAAATGACTAATTAATTTTGCAAAACAATCATTGATAAATTTTACTGTGCCAGTATTATACCTCTCAGTTTTGTAAACAAATTAATCCTAGTTTACATTCCGAATTTAGTATATGATAGCAATAACTCTAAAATGTTTTTAATTATATTTTGGTGAAAATTTATTGATATTCTTATCAATGACATTTGGACCTTTTGGTGTAGTGTGGTACATGAATTATTGTATTTCGGTCTTCAAATAAATTTGGAAGCTGTGTAAAAGAACCGTTAATAAAATAAGTTGTATTTTATTTTACTGTTTTTGATCCAGGCGTGTTCGAAAATACATTAAAATGGAGACGTCTCTATTATTTAAAAGATATGGTTTTTCCATTATTTTTTAAGCAAACGCTTATTTTTCCAGCTGTCTAACAATAAAATACAGTTTCCGTTAATGGAAAAAAAGTATTCGCTGAGAAAAAAATTAAATTACTTGAGTGGAAGTTCAGACTCTTAAATATATTTGTCTAGACGAACGAAAAAGGCATTCTGCATGATATACGATACTTTATTTGATTAATGCTCCTTTTTGTAGTAACAAGCTGGATGTTAAAGTTTAAAGTTCGAACACAATAGAGATCTGAAGCCAGTTTGGCTTTCATATATTTTTGTTTAACTTTGATACGATTAAAGGATTATTTGCAGTTCTGTTCAAAAATGATTAAATTATCGCAGTAAAAATATAAAGGGAACAATACGTTCATTTTCTGCCAAAAAAAGATAACTGTTATTTAAGTATTGAAGGCGTATTACTGGTTAAGGGCGGAATTTAAGTTGTTATTTGAAACTGAAAACATTTAGTGTCCGTAATATTTACTAAATTTCTTAAAAATGCTGCAGAAATCGAAAAAGCACCCGGTGAAGTTTGTGTCGAGCTTTTACTTATAAAATCTGAGGAAAGCCACATCATGTGTAATAAAAGTTCTACTAAAAAGCGCAAGTTAAAAAACAACCCACGAAGAGTTTTGTCGACACGTGTTGGAAGAAGCCTATGGTTTGAGAGTTATACAGGGCATGTTTTCCAACGCACTTCCACTACACTACTATTGAACAAGGGGCCAACACTTTGGATTTAAAATCTATTGAAGGATAGGGATAAGTCGTACATTTTGAGACCATATTTGAAGTCAAATGAAATTTGAACAATTGACAATTATGAATGTTGAACGATGGAATATTAATATTTTCTCAAGACACTATTTTCGTGCACTTATAAAATTTTATGACCCTGTTAGTGCCATTTGGGTCAACAACTATAGAAAAATCTGCTTATATTTTAAGGTTGTACTTATAAGTTTATATGTTTAGTTATTTACTTAAAAACGATTCTGATTAAAAATTAAAAGACTACTTGTGGATAAAAATTGGTGTACAAGAAAAACGTATAGGGGTTATCATAAAATAAATAAAATTTCACAAAATCAAATTTTATAATTTTTAGAAAAAGTTTGATTTGTTGGTACAGAGAGGAAATGTTAAGTTTAAGAAAGGAGACAGAAAACTTTAAGAGAGAAAATAAAGAACTGAACAAACAACATCAAGCGATGAAAATAGAGTTGGTGGAAGTGAAAGATAATTTGGAATATATAGAAAAGGACAAGAAGACATGTACGGATAGGATATATACAACCACATTCAACTTAAGATAGTTGCAAGAGGTAAAAAAAATTTTTATAAAACAACATGAAGATCGATGTAAATGTGAAATCAACTCATAGGTTGGGAGAAAAAACTTGTTTAATAAAACTGACAAATGAAAATGATAAGGGGGCAATTATGAAAAACAAATCAGGATTTAAGATGACCCGAAAATATTTATATCAACAATGACTTGAAAAAAAAATAAGGAAGAGCAGTAGGAAGAAAGAATTGCCAGAAGGTTAAAATGGGTTATAGAAAAATTATCATCGAAAATACTGAATGGAAATAGAATGAAATTGCTAAAAAATTAGAAAAAACACAGTCAAAAAACTCAAACAAAAGCTGGAGTTTGGATTTTTAATGACGGAGCAAGCAAAAGAAAAGGACATGTATAAAGCATACTGTTACGATTTATCGGTGAATAAAATCGGCGTGGGTAAAACTCAACAAGTTATTTTTTAATAACTCGAATTACAGGACTAACTATTACAGCGATTATGTACAGAATAAATCTGTGGTGCAACTTGAATGCGAGTATACAAAGTATACGTTTCTCTCGATGGATCGAGAACGCAGCTTCGAGGGTTTTCTAGGCCCGTCGCGACATCTGCTTCCAAGTCGACCGATGAGTCATACTACTACATACTAGAAGAAAAACATACATACTAAAATACCCACAGGCGTCGTACCGGGGCAGCGTTTGTTTATTTTATAGTATTGTTACTATACAAATCATAATGACAAAACAACTAACGGAAAAACCAAGGAAACAAATAAAAATGAAACTATACAAGCAAAGAATAAGGAGTATGAATGGTAAAAAAATGAATAGGCACAAGAATTTAAAAAAGCAAAACTTGAAATATTACGAGATACTGAAAAAAAAAGAAAGACAAAGGAGAAATGACAATAGAAGATAATGGTTAAATGTATAGCAGAGTTGAGAGTACTAAACGAGCAGAGGCAGGTAGGATGTATGATGATAAGTCCCCACTATATGAAAAAAAAAAGTCGAATAGAAAACAGTTAACGAAAGAAGCATGACATTAAAGATGGAATTAATACAAAATAAAATAGAAGAAAATGATAGAACAGTGGAAAAACAAAATTTCTGGGAACAATTTCAAGAAGTATACGATGAAGGAAGAGATACAGTAATAATACGGTGGGGAATAACAGAGAAGGAGCTATATAGAAATGGGAAGTTTCAGCAAGAATATTAGAAAAAATAATGACAAAATGTTTATAGAATTCTGCATACGAAATCAACTAATTATTTTGAACTCCGTTTTCCAACATAAAAACCTTCATAATTACACAAGGGAAGAAAAAGGATTATCCATAATAGATTACATCATCACAGAAAGGACTAACAGACACATTACTGAAAATATAAGAGTATGTAGAAGTGCTGAATTAGCAACAGACCACTACCTTGTAGTTGTAAATATAAAAGTTATGGAAGATAACATGAAAGATATAAATCGACAATGCAAGAAACATGCAAAGAAAACAATATCATCAAATTATACAAACTACAAAACAAAAAAAAAAGAGAATACTACGAAGAACTAACTAAAGAGCAGAAAGAGGAAAGAAAACAAGAAATTAGCCAAGGAAATCCGTAAGAAAAGTGGAAAATATTCAAAGTAATATTACACAGTGTGGCAAGTAAAACATGTGGAGTCACAATAACAGAAGAGAGGAAAAGAAGAACACTAGTGAAATGAGAAAATTAAAAGAGACGTTAAGGTCAAAATAGAAACACGGGAAGAATACTTAAGGTTACAAACAACACAAACCTACAATACATACAAGGAAACTAGAAATAAGTAAAGGATAAAATAAAAGAAAATGGAAAGACTTTGGTGCAAAGGTCGAAGCTAATAGTAAAAACAACCAAAAAATAATTTACAGAGCTCTAAAAAATATGAAAGGAGATAAAAGAAAAATGGTGAAACAAAGCAACAATGAAGATGAAAAAATTCTAACAGGAGTAAGAAATGTCAGAAGTATAGAAATTAGGCAAT